CCCTATTTACTAATATACCTATAGATTTGGCATCTGATAGTTTGGTTGTAAGGATGCTATATCCAAGAAGACTAAAATTCGAGTCTTTGAACGAGTTTTTGATAGCCTTTCGGATGATTCTGAATTCGACGGTTATTATTTTTAATAAAAAAATATACAAGCAGATATTTGGGATCCCCATGGGTTCACCTTTGTCACCTGTTGTTGCAAATATTGTTATGCAGGACTTTGAGAAAATGGCTATTGGAATGCTGCCTTGTCGACTGCTATTTTACTATCGATACGTTAATGATATTATCTTAGCCGCTCCTTCTGAGAGTGTTTATGATATTTTGGATATGTTTAATTCATTACATACTTTAATACATTACATATAGATTGCAGTTCACCATGGAGATTGGCCTTGATGGAAAAATAAGTTTTTTAGATACGATGTTGATTATTGAAGAACAGAATCTCATTTTTGATATATACCGTAAAGCAACTTTTTCCGACAGATTTCTTAATTTCCATTCACATCATCCACTTTGTAATAAAAGAGGTGTAATTTATGGAGTCGTGGATAAGATTTTTCGTTTGTGTCATCCGAAATTCCAACAAAATAATTTGATTGACGCTATTAAGATTTTTTTACAGAATGGGTATCCGTTACGTTTTATTTTTTCGACTATTCATAATAGAATAAAATATCACATTAATAAGATTAATAATTTGAATGAGAATAAGGATGACATTGAGAAGAGGTTTTTTATGATTCCGTATGTTAATACGATATCCGAAAGATTTATACCTATTGTTAATATGTTTAATTGTAAATTGGCTTTTACTATTCCTAACACATTGAGAAGTTTCATAAGAAGAGGAAAGGATGATTTGGAACACGTTAAGAATCAAAATGTGGTCTACAGAATATCTTGTGAGGATTGTGATGCCAGTTACGTTGGCCAAACTAAAAGACAATTAAAGACCAGATTGCATGAACATGTTTCTGATATCAATATAAGTTCAAAATCTCCATCAGTGATTTCTAACCATCGTATTGAGGAGAATCATAACTTTAAATGGGATAAAGTGGAAATATTAGATGTAGAGCCTTTATATAATAAAAGGTTGATATCTGAAATGGTCCATATTAAAAAACAGAAGCATGGGATTAATAGACAAAATGACACGGAGTCTTTGCCGGATTTGTTTTCTGACATTATACATTCTCTTTCTCCTTTCTAACACGTTCTTTCCTTTTCCCCCGTATTTTTCCGTTTTCCGTTCTCGATAATGTTTTTCTGCTTGACATTTCGTTCTTTGATATCGTGTAAGTCAGATGCTCGTTACCTTTGCGAATTTGCTTATAATAACCTATTAAATTAAAAAGACTATTTTATACCACGAAATGGACCATATTTTACATTTTTTTCTCGTTGTGTATTATTGGAGTCTTAACAGATTTACTAAGGTATATTATCATATTATTAATTTTTATGTGATTAATATTAATTCTTTTTGTTTACGGTTACTTTTCCAGAATTTTCTTATGACTTTGTTAATTCTTGATAAAAATGACTCGCAGCGTATTACACAGAAAGAAGAAATTTTATATTAAGGAATTGTAAGAATATTGTAAGATTATGTACGAATTTTTAATTTAGAATAATATTTATATTATTGTAAGATTGCATTGAAAATGACTCGATTGGAGTTGAAACGTTTATTTTTATTTTATTTTATTTTAATTGTTTTGTATTAGTTTTGCTTATTTAAATTATAATTCTTTTATACGTTATTGGCTCTTTGCCCTTCTTTTATACTACCTTTTGTTTATAAGTACAGAACCTTTTTTATTACTTTTAATTAAAATATAAATATTTCGCTACTAACATCTTGCGCTCGTGGTGTATGCCTTTTCAATCACATTGTTTTAAGTTTAACCACGTTTTGACTTCTATTGTTAAAAAAAACATATTTAATGTTGCGTTTATGACAAATACGCTTTGTATCGATCAATATTTTGTATAAAATGTTTCTTTCTAACTATCACATCCGCATTTAAAATTCTGTTAATGAAAATTTTGTAAACAAAATTTTGAAAACGAGATTACTAATAATATAAATAATCATGATACCAATATAATTTTGTAATGCACAATTAAAAGCCTTCATATGTTGTGTAATTTTAAAATAATTTTTTATTTGCCTATAAATAATTTTTTATTTGAAAAGCGAATCGGTTTTTTCCTACAACTATTGCTTAAAAATTACACATACGAACAATAATTTCAAAAATTATATGAAAATATATTTGATCTAATATATATGTTTACTACTAATTATAGTACTTATTTCCGATCTTTACGACACCTTACGCGCTCGACCATGTCAATTTCTTGCGGATCGAATTTATGACCGTGGTACATAACACGAATGGAAAATCATAAACAATTAATCTTCTGTTAACTATCGCGTTTTGACACGATTTATAATATTCTGGATTTATGGGAGGGGTATATTACAATTTATTACAATTTATTAAAACTTATATATTATTTAGAACGTGCATTTCCTATGCCTCTATGTCTCTTGATACACGCCTGACGTCGAGAGCCGAGAGGCCGAGAAAGCATATTTCGGTTGCTCGACGCTCGTTTGAGTGAAACAAAGTTCTCTCTCGTTCTCAGCGCGCCGACAAGGCAAGCAATTAGAACGTAGTGCAAAAAGGATAGAGCGATAATAGTCGGCACGCTTTTAACTAACCAAGTCACACGGACTCATGCTTGTGTTGCTACCGGTTGCGCCAGACCGTCGATCGGTGGAGCTGATCGCGTGCTGCAAGCGGCCCGGAATTCGCATCACTGTCCAGGAAACTAGACAAGTTAGGTAAAAGAGTCGAAAAAGGTTTACCACGCACTACTCTAAACGACAATAAAATCGATTTTGTTCATTGGTATCCTAACGAGCTAGTGGATCGTCTCCGATTGCTTGAGGCCTCACGTTAGGCAGGTAATAACGCTCATGGTAACGAAATATTGTCTATTATTGAGGAGCTTCATGAAGTTGGCTTTATTATAAATTGAAAAGAGATACAATCATTTTACATCAAAATGCCGATGAATAACGTTTGCATTTAAGAACTTTCTGATATTTTACGCAATATATAGCAATAATCATAACATAACGTAACATGTCTAAGAAGAAAAACCTTGAAAAGTGGCGATTATTGGAAGAACATGCTCCGGCGAGAAAAAATTTTCCATGCAGACGTGTCATAGTTTACGGATACGATGACCTGTGGTAGGCTGATGTGGTCGAGATGCGGCCTTACACACGATTCAACAAAGATTATCACTACATTCACATTATCGATGTGTTGAGTAAGCACGCATGGGCCGTACCGCTGAAAACAAGAGTGGAAATGAGATGACTACAGTGATCGCAAAGATAATTCGTGACGATGAAAGATGTCCGAAAAAATACAATATAAATCATTATTCAATATATTCCATAATGATCTGTCATTAAACGATTCAATCGTACGTTGAAAAACGATATGTGGAAACAATTTACGCACTGGAAATTATAGATGGATCGACTTGCTACCGCGTCTCGTGTCTAAGTACAACGCGCGAAAGCATCAAACTATCGGTATGCGGCCCATCGATGTAATTCCCATGATTGCTGACAAACTCTTAAAGTAAAACTACTTACAATACATCTACGATATATAGTAGCGTAAAGGTCGTCGCACTCCCGCGATTCAAAATGGGTGATTCGGTACGTGTAAGCAAATTCAAGACGATTTTTGAGAATGGTTACACACCAAATTGGATCACGGAGGTGTTTAGAATCAACAAAGTACAGAAATCTAATCCTGTGACGTATCTACTGGAAGATTATCGCGAAAAATCGGTCGCTGGAGGATTCTATGAGTATGAGTTGCATCGCTAATCCCGACGTATATCTAATTGAAAAGGTATTGCGTAAAAAAGGAAACAAGGTTAACGTGAAATGGTTCGACTTTGATAATTCGCACAGTTCTTGGATACACAAGGATAGTGTGTCATGAAAATAAAATTTATTATAAATTATGTAATTATTTTTTTCCCTATGTAAATATATATTAAATATAAACGCATTATATGTTATACACATTACAAATATTACAGATGCATTTATACGTGCACACGTACATATTATACATACAATATATACATACATACATGCATACATATATACATTATACATGCATATGTACATTATACATGCAAACGTACGTATCATATACTGTACATAATATACTTATTACACATACTTATTATACGTACTATACATAACATACATAACATACATATTAAATATATTGTACATCATATACAAGTGTGTTTTTATTAATAAAAAATACATAAATACGAAAAAAAAGAAATGAATTTTTTTATAATAATATTTTTTAATATATCCATGGCAGCGTATCAGTAGAATTTGGAACAATGTACCGCTTATCATCGTTTGGATTCAGAGTGATTTTCGTTTCGGATATGGTGTATACTTTGTGCAATTTCGATCTTATGCATGACTGCGCGTCATTTCAATTGTGTCATTGAGACACTGCGTATTATCATTGAATTATGGATCTCGTTATGGATCTCGCTACAACGTTGCTCTTGAAGCCTTTTTCTTAGTATCTTTTTTGCTATCGACATGCAAGGCGTACATTTTCGCTCTAAGTCAGACGAATTCGATCATAATCGCACCATTGTTTTCATTAAATCGGGAACTTTTTTATTTACTAGCGGAATGTCGTAAGCATTATCGGTCGTGTAATCGTTCCTATCGAATCTATTGATATCGCGTTTCATAACAGCGTAGACATCGTCGCACTCAATGTGATAAATAAGGCTGTCTGTATCGGTATACATAATTTTACATTTTTTATGAAAGAGCGATAACATGTACTTGTAGTGAAATTCGTATAAACACATTTTAGATATCGAGGATGCTCATACTCACATATATCGTTTTGTCGAACTTCACCTCGAGTTTCCGTATTTCTATCAGGTTCTCAGAAAAAACGCTTCTACTATGAAAGTTTGGTTTCGCGATCATTGCCTCTATACCATACCTCCCATCCCAACGCATTACGAGTCGCACATTAACATGGTCACGCACATTCTTCATAGTCTTGCCGAAAACCGCGTTGTTCATTAATTTGAATAAGTTTCTCTCGAACTCATTCTTTGCTAAAATTCTAAAATTTGTATTGTATTTGAATTCGATGTACTCGCGAAGCCATGGAGATTGCGCGAATTGCGGTATACGATGGATCTTTGTAATGCGGAGACTGAGTACATTGCTGCAGATTACGATAATGTAAGACGCTTTTTATCATACAATGTCGCGAGGAGTTTCTTGCTTGCTGGGTGGTTTTCCGCGCGTTGGACAAAACGATAGATCGGATAGTGCGCATCATGGACATGTTACGGATACTCCAAGTCAATCTCGAGAACGTCGGTGAATCTAATGCGACATTCATAACATCAAAATTGTCAAAACGTCGTTGATCCAGCGAAAATCGGCATATGGCAATGATTGATACATTGTCCAACCGTACAGATTATTAACATAATATTACATCAGGTACGTCGATGGTTTCGATGAATCATAGAACTGCATGTACTTGTTGTTGGCCTGCGCATACCTGTTTGAACATCGACTCGTTTGAAGATCGCCACGTATACCACGTTCGATGAATAGAACCATGTAAGAAGTTCGAAATTGACGTGATTATATTTCAAGATCGCGTTTGATATAAAACTCAGTGTATAATAATACGTGGGATCAAGTCTATAACTGATGATGCAACTATCCCGAAAATTCTCAAATATATAGGCCAACAACAATACATCTGTTTTTAAATATAGATCACTGTATTCACTGAGGGTTCGAATGGAGAATCGCTGCCATACATTTATGACATGTGCGTAATCACTCTCGGATACAGTGTCGCCGTAGTTAACGAATTATAAAACGATTCGCACGGAGATGTAGTCTCTAGAAAGAATGTAGCCTCCAATTTTTCGATGCAGTCAACGTACTCGTACGGAAATATATCTTTACGTGTAAGAAGATTGAAATTCTCCGCGCTGAGATTAAAAAATTCTAACCGCGTAATTTTCAATTTATTTTTATCGAAATACGATGTTAATTTTTCTAAACTAGTATTGAGAAATTTAAATGAATCGATAAATCATAATTTTATACAAGTTTTCTTTTGATCATTTTTGGTGTTATCGACATATTTTGTAAATGAAATGTGTTTTTCTTTAATTATGTAAATGAAATGTGTTTTTCTTTAGTTCTGTACGTTCTTTATACGCGGTAGCTATATTCTTAATAATAAAGTGTGCGTCGTAGCCCGATAAATTATGAAAAACTACGGGAATGCAATATAAATCTTTATAATTTAGTTGCAAATTTTTTTGAATTTTTTTTAAGGCGCGGGGTCTCTATATCGCCCTGTAAAGTGGCAATGATCGTGTGTCATCCAGCGCGAACGGTTTTTCACACATGTGGCAGTACATGGCATTGTTAAATTTTTGCCAATCATCCCGCGTAAAATCTGCCATGGGAACATTAGCAGACAGGATAGTATTTACATTATGCGCTAAATTTTTAAGTTCCTCAGCGAACCATGCGACGCAAACATTATCGCGACGAAAACGATACATACACAATGAGTTGTACGAGCAATGGACATAGTATATTAAGCTAAATACCCGATGTTGCTGATATGTATACCTGGATGTTTTCATGTCTATCTTCATCTTCTCTAGGAAGCATTTTAGATCGACGTACATCATGAATGGGACGCGTTCCTTCATGCGGTGGCTGCTGAAGCTCAATCACTTGTTGTCCTCATTGGGCAGCCGGATCGCGCAGTTGTTAAATTTTCCACAGTCTATTGCGTAGATCTCCAATTGCGTGCTTATATGAAAATAGTGCAGACATCTGGAAAATAACACAAATTTTTATTATTATTTAAAAAAAATGTTGCTGAAAATATTTGTAACTTTTTTCTTTTTTAAATGTATACGAACCTATCACAGAAATATATTCTATTCTTTCGTGCTGTAATTTGCGATCTCACAAGGCGAGATAAATTCTTAATTCATGCAAAATGCCTTGTATTATCGTTACATGGATCCTATATGTACAAAAGATTGACGTGTTTGCCCCTTTTTCGATCGGTCAGCCATGATGGAAGAATTTCTTTTTGCTTCTCGATGAGGTAAACATTGGAGATGTCGTTGAGATTTTCGAATTTTCTTATTTGATTCAGCGTCATTGAGAACATAATGTCTGTTAGATTGAATACTGTTGTATAACGAGGATACGGAGATGTCCGATCTGTGTTACTTCTAGCTGGATGTAGAGCGGCAACCACTAACCAGGCAAAACATGTATTGGCCATGGATCGCACGTTGACCACTGCTCTCTTTATTTTAATTTCTCGCGGGAGTTCGATGCGACATGCCGCGTGCAACGGATTGTACTTGTTTACGTTTACAGTTAAATTCAGGATATACGAGCATCCACCCGCTATCGCGTTCCTGGAATTCCTTCAGCGATGTCAGGATAAACTCAACCATGCGCGTATCATTCTTGCAAATCGAACGAATGGAAGAATTCATAGTTTCTCGTGCTCATACTTTTATTCGCACATTTATTACCCGATATAAATTCACCATTAAACACTGTATTTATCTTAATATTATCATGTTTCTGAATAACACTTCGCACACGTTCCAGCACTATCTCTCTCACATCTTTCACAGGAATTGGCGAGGTTCGATGTGTCCAGAGTTTATAACGGCACCGGTCAATACGGCTTTTGAACATTGTATCAATCTCGCGCCATCAAAGTCTCGCGCTATACCCGATATCCACTTGCACATTCGCGCACAGTATCTTTCAAATTTTCGAGTCTCGCGATACGAGCAATCAACGATTGTTTAACACCAATCGATAATCGCGGACGTTTAGCGCGACTCTGTTCCTCCAGCGATTCGATGAAATTATCTCAACGCTATTCCCACGCAAGAAACTGTTCTCGCGTATTCAACTGAGCGGCTTGCGCTATAAGATCACACTCCGTTTGATCCATATTAAAATATACTGGTTTTCGCAGTCATTAAAATATAATTTTCACATAGTTACTAGAAAGTATAATTTTTGCACAGTTGCGTTAAATGTCTTTCACATTGTGCAAATAGAGCATAAATTGCATGATATAATAAAATTTAATACAGCGAATCTCGGCATT